TCTCTCTCTCTCTCTCTCTCTCTCTCTCTCTCTCTCTCTCTCTCTCTCTCTCTCTCTCTCTCTCTCTCTCTCTCTCTCTCTCTCTCTGTGAAAGGAGTAGAAGAAGGAGGGCGAGAACAGGAAGAAGCAGAAGAAGATGTCGTCCTCCTCGCTGTCTCACCTGCAGGTAACTGTCGCCAGGTACTAACGCGCTGGTGTGTCGCTGTGCTACAGGTCGCTGGCACGAAGCACAGCTATGGCGCCCAGGTACGTAATCCGGTGCTGCAGGTATGGCCTCCGCCCTTCTCCCTACCTACACCTCTACATCCAGCGCAGCGTTGTATAGCGCAGCTCCAGCAGCGTGTCGCCCAAGAATTGAGGTACTTGAACTGTCTCTGCCCAGGAGCTGTCCCAGCTACAAGTAGTGCTGGCCGTGGGTGCTGTGCCCACGACCTGTGGTCTGGGCCGCGAGATCGTCGGTCCGATCCACGGTCCAGATCGCAGGAAAAAGTCCTGCTCCTGGGCCTGGCCTAAAAACGGCATGCCTGGGTCCCTACCGGACGTCCAGGCCCTCCCTGCTGATGCAGCAGGGAATGTCCGCTACCGGACAAAACTGAACCTGACCCGAAAGGGCCTGGCCACGAATGGAGAAGGCCCAAAACGTGGCCTTTGTCCGAACAGACCGTAAGTCTGTCGGACGTACTGCGATTCGGAAATGACGTCTGCAACAGACAAAAATAGAACAGCAAATAAATAAATGCTGCCTCAAATCAATCCCTGCGGCCCCAAAGGCTGGCCGTGGGCCTCCAGGGAGTGTGCTTAAATGGCATGCGGCCTGAGGGGCCCCAGCAACAGTTGGGCCCCCGAAACGGGGCCCGTGTGCAGGCTCAGCATGTAACAGGTGGGCCGGTTCACTATCAGTCACTGCAGCTAATGACAAGTCGCTGGACAATGTTGCTATGATAATCTATGGAACTCGATTGTACATTTATTGTCTATTTCCGCATCTGCAGGAAGCACAACAAAGGACGCCTCATCTATCACGAACAACTGCAGGCTAGCCTTTTGGAAGGACATTCTGAAAGGATGCAGGAAGATTTTTCCTACTAAAGTAAGGGGGTCACAAATGAGGAGGCCATCTTCAGGGCAACCACTATCTGCAACCCCTAGATATGACCCTAACCACAAAGGACTCGAGATGGGGGGCATGGTCAGAAAGAGGAGTTTGGCAAATAAAACATATATATGCGTTAGCAGGGTAGCAACTCTAAAGGAAGACATGAGCTGGTCAGTTGGAGACTGGGCAGTGACGGTACACCTAAACCCCCAGGAACATGCATTGACCTTCTGAGGTATGGAGGATGGGAAAGCAAACTGGCTTAGATTTCACTATGCATGAGATAGAAGAACATGGGGCAGGCTATAGCAAAGTAAGTAACGAGACCGACGCACCAATAACAGTCAGACTGGATCTGCTAAGAAAGTTAAGAGTGCTAGA